GCATGCCTTAGTACTTGTTAATTAACAGTGATAGCACAAAGTGCTAATATAGATGCCATAGACTATCAGGAAGGGGTAGCAGCCCCACCATCTTGCTTGTGACTGACTAGGTGCCACCCAAGGGTGGCCGAAGTGTCCGGCAGCCAAGGGGCTATCCTTCGAATGGCTAACATGACAAAGCGACAGCAGCTTTTTAGCAGCCTCAGGTCAGGAGGTCTGTGTAGGCGTTTTCATATGGGAAAAAAGAAGCAGAACGGAGCCCCTCCTGCACAGAGTCAGTCCCAACCCAGGAGAGCTATGGCGAATGGCAAAAAAAAGTTTTAGGAAGGGACTGACTTGCATCCCACTTTGGCGTAGGGATTCAGAAGCCACTGGTGGGCCAACCCTAAGCATTTTCCCCTCCCAAGTAAGCCACATTGCCACCTCCCGACTCCTTGTAACCATCGGGACTGCACTCTGACATAGCTTTCAGAATGCTCATAAGGGGGGACTACAGACCCCATTACAGGATTGCTGCAGGGAAAGTCCCTTTCGGCATCCAGATGAGTTGCCAGCCAACAGATTTGGAGCAGAGGGAGCCAAGTACTGAATGAGTGGCTACAGTCATTCTTACTCAATTGAAGAAGAAAATATGCCCAGGATTGGGGCAGGGTGGGGTGGGGGGGGGGAGGAATTCAAGTACTCCTCTTCAGGGTTATTATGTCCAAGGGAGCATCCCAAAGATTTCTTAAGGCAGGTGAATGTTCTCTTTGGATACATGATAGATCTTTCTTCTTGGACAAAGTAGTTAAAGAGTGGAATTCCCAAAACTTTCAGAAAGCTGCTAAAAAGTGTTCTGAATGGAAGTTGGCAAATGTAAGAACAATTTGGGGTGAGGGGATACAAATTACTTGTTGACTTATGAAAGGATTTCATGAGCAGGTTTTTGGTTTTTTTTTTTTTTTTAATTGGGAAACATGCTTTACTCAGTGGAAAATCCCACTTTGCAAGTGAAGGTGCAGCCCATCACCTGGCCTTCAGGGGCTAAAGGGTTTTTTGGGTGCTGACACAGAGGCCCCGAGAAGTCTCTGTGACACTGGCAGCACCAGCTGCGATTCCACAGGGGTACAGGGTAAAGATGGGTGTGTTGGGGCAGGTACTGGAAGACTTTGAACCCATGATGTCTAAAGTTCTGACCCTTCTCTGCCAGCTCCCCTGCCCCCAAAAGGACAAAGTGCACCACCCCTGGGGCCAGTGTATTTCTTTCCAGTCCCCGTAGTGCCAGAAAAGCAAAACTGAAAATCTGGGGACAGATACTTCTGCACTGGCTGGTGTGAGCCACCTGGGCTTAGGAAGTGCCATAGCATCTTCCTCCCCACAGGTTTAGGATTACTCTGCCAATACTGTATTCTCTGTGTGTGTGTGTGCGCCATTGATTCATTTGTGGGAAGAACAGAAAAGTCTACTGCTGAATCAGATGTAGGGGGAGAAGGGCTCAGGTGCTAGAGGGTGTTACCAGACATGCAGCTTTAATGGGGTTCTCTCCTGCTATTTGTGCCAGGCAGGTGGGTGTCACTAACCCAGCATACAATGTGCACTAGATTTAAGCCCTGGTCAACATAGCTCTCAGGTGGGTTCAGACAAGGCATGCAGCAAAATAAACGCATGGCGGTGGACTTGAGAGGGTAGTGCAGACTCCTGCACAGACATGGTGCCCACTGGGGAAAAAATCCTTCAGGATGAATCATTCCCAAGGTAGCTGGCAAAATCTGAAGCAGTGCTGAAAGGACAGTTCCTTCATCGACAATCTTGGCCTCTTCCCAAGGATTCAGCACGGAAGCAGATGGCAGCTCAGCACCCTTCTGAGCAGGAACTGTTGTGTCTGCAGAGAAATTAGTCTTGCCTTTTGGAAGGAGGAGAGGAAAAGAGCTGAAAATGGTATTGGGAGAATTCCACGTGGCTCTGGCAAAACAGTCCGAAGCAAGGACAGCGCCTCACCTTGCTTACCAGTTTTGCGAAGCTGCTTTGCAGCAAAACATGGCTGCAGCTGGAAGTGGCGGCTAGAATGTCATTTAATTGCAAGGAGTGGAGGTGAGGGCAAGAGCTTCTGCGCATTCTTGCCCTGGGGAGTCTTGCTGGCTGCACAATACAACCAAGGCCAGGAGAACCGCTCCTCCCACCCCTGTGATGTATGTTGTCTGGAAGCAGCTAATTGCTTCTGATCATCGGCGCCAAGAAGGAGCAAGAGTCTCAAGTGCCAGGCGATCACACCCCACTTTCTTCATCTCATTAGCCTGCTGGCAGCAGCTGAGCTGTGCTTGTCTTCTACTTGCTTTCCTTTTAATTGATGAACGGGGAGCAGGAAGGAGAGCAGGTAGCACGAAAAGTTGGGGACATGCTGGGGTGAGAAGGAAGGTGTCCCAACATTGGATGGACGTGCAAGTCGGCACAGCTTTGATTCCCCAATGATTAATGACAGCACCAACTGAAAGACACTCACACATTGTTAAGTTAGGCTGCTGAAACAAAGAGTATTCATTTAAAGTTGGTAGATTTTGTTGTTGGCCAGGGATGTGCTTGATTCTCAGTGTAGGCCCATCCTCCTGAGCCACCGTTGGCTCTGGTTGTTGGACCTCAAGGTCCTGGTAAAAAAATAAAGTAGACCTCCTATACCTAAAGTTTATCTAGCCTTGATACATGAATATAAAAAGGAGAAAGAGGAAAATTGGTGGAACAGGTTTGCTGTCTGCACAAAATATGGGTCGTATGTGTAGCCAGGAATGCATTTTCAAACAGATTAAAAAGACATTTACAACAAACTTTGGATTTCACATGCTTTCCAAATTGTCATCTATTGAACATCTTGTTACATTTGAATCTTCAAAGGGGTTTCCCTCTTTTTAAGTAATTCAGTGCACAATTTCAGAGTATATGTAGCAAGGTTGTTGGTTAGTTAGCTAACGAAGCCTCTTTCTGTGACAGGCTTAGCAATGAACATTACAGAGGCAGCATAAAAAACCTGTGAGAGGGGTTGGCTTGCTGGAGGCTTAGGGACATGCGATGACATCAGATTAACTTGGCTACTTCATCTTCAGAAACAGTGTCTGTCACTAATTATGGTTCCGTATAATCTCTGTTTAACAGTTCCATTTTGTGACAATGAAGTCTTACAAATTCTGCACAGACTGACTCAAAAATGATTGTTAATTATTTTAGTTAAAAGTTTTTATTGCTTTTTAATTTGCAAAGTACATGATGGAACGTTGCCAGTTCTCTCTCCCTAGGTGAGTTTACTGTTCCCACTTCATAAAATGGAAAACACCTTGCCCAGGCACGCAATGACTTGGGATGGGTTTGAATTATTTCTCTGGACTATAGGCCATTTTGGAAGCAAAAATGGCAAAACTGAGACTATCGTACTTTGGGCGCATCATGAGAAGACTCACTGGAGCAAACAGTAATGCTAGGAAAATTCAAAGGCAGAAGAAGAAAAGGAAGACCTAGTATGAGATGGATGGACTCCTTCAAGGAGGCCACAGCCTCGAATGTGTAGGAGCTTAGGCTGTCAAGGAGAGGGCTTTTTGGAAGGCATTCAATTCATAGGGTTACCATAAGTCAGAGGCGACTTGGCAACATTTAACAACAGCATAGGCCACTTCTTAGCTTAGGGATGTGAGATCCACTTCCATATGACTATTGTTCCACTATGGCCTGTATGAAGGCGCTGGGCAACCAATATGGATTTCTTTCACAGCAACATTGCCTCTTCCTTGATGTCTGGTGAGAAACTCGAGAATTGCTCGATTACGGCGTTTCCTGACAAGCATCACAGATGTTCCTGGAGAGGCGTGGGACCCAGTCATGCACAAGTGGCTTCCACACAGCTCAGGGCCCTGAGACACCTTTCATAAGTCAATTGTCTGTTCACTGATGCCTGATCATTTTTATTGGATTGGATCCAATGCATTGTGTGGGCAGAATTCCACTCATGCAATGCATCTTTTCTGGGGTAGAGGGACTTCATTGTCCTTTCCTCCCTCCTGCAGCCTCCTGTGCATAATCTAAATTTGCTCCACAGAACCCACTGAAGCAGAGGGGGACGTGCATAGAGAGGAGCTGGGTGAGGAGAAACCCCCTACTGGCCAACACTGAATCCTATCTTATTTTCCCCTTGGTCTGTATTATAAGGAAGGGCAAGCAAAAGACCTCTAGCCCAATGCCGGGAAAATCTAACTGACCCACAGCCCATCTTACAGCAGCCAAACCCTTTTCTCTGTTATCTGCACAACAGATTCATGTTTGTGCTCTTTAATGCACATTTGACGGTGATCAGATGTGTACGAAGAATTACAAAATATGTGGCAAGAGCAAATTGACAGCCACCTCTCCAATGGCTGGAAGACACTCGTTTGTGTACAGGGGAGAAGTTCTGCTAAAGAAAAAGACAGCAAGGGACACAAACCTCCAGCAATCGCTTGTGCGCATTAGCTGTGGCCTGTAGTGGTTTGGAAGATGTGTCATGAATCCATGGTGATTCTTGTTAAAATTAACTGTACAGCCTTGCATTATGGCAAAATGTTTTTTAAACAGTCTTTGATTATAATGGTGCTTTATACTTGTTTCAGTGTGATCTTGAATTCATTTTGTGTTCACTTGTTTTTGTTTCTGATTTGATACATACAGTTTGATTTATGTAATAAATCGTTTTGTTTTGCATAAGTGTAGGTTTGCTGTGAGCTGCTTTTGAGTAGTTCACTGAAGAAAAGCGGCATAAAGAAACAAATAGAGAAATCCTGCCTTTCCCCCCATCTTGAAATAATAATGGGAGAAGTTCTAGAGCAAGGATTGGCCATATCTGCCTTTCCAAATGTTTTGGCCTAAACCTATCAACCCTAGCCAATATAGTCAATGGTGAGCAGCAGTGGGAATTGTAGGCCAACATTTCAACCCTTTTGCTCAGAAAATCACAAGTAGCATTCATGAAACCTTTCCACTCAGTAGCTTTGGTTTTGTCTTTTCAGCTTACAAAGAGAAAATGAAGGAGCTGTCTCTGCTTTCGTTGATCTGTTCCTGTTTCCACACTCAGCCACATCCAAACACTATCTACCAATATGGAGGTAAGTGGCAGGCATGTCTGGTCATGACTTCTAGATATCTGCTTTCTGAAGCCCATGATTTGCTTCTGGAAATGCTACTGGGGCAACAGTGTGGTGTCATGGATAGTGTGTTGGACTGGGGGTCCAGAAGATCTGGGTTCTAGTCCTCACTCAGCCATCAAGCTCCCTGGGTGCCTTTGGGCCTGTCCCAACAGCCCGACCTACTTCACAGGGTTGCTGTTGTGAGGATAAAATGGAGCTATGCAAGGCACTTTGGGTTACTCATCAGAGGAAATAAAGCAGAATATAAATGTGACATCATAATAATCATGTTAATGATAAGTTCAGAGTGAAGAAGTCTTGGCCAGTATGAAATGGTGACTCCATGAGTTAGTCCTTCATCATGGGTGACATTCATAGCTTTTCAGTTAAGGCAATGGCCAGCCAGCACAGGAGATGAATGGACAGCAAGGCCTGGTTCCACAGCTGCTCATCCCCTCCCCACCAGAGCCCATCAGTGCAGCTTAGTGGAGGTAACGGAATAAAAAGGGGAAGGTGAAATATAAATAGAATAAACAAAGCAGGTCAAGTCGCTTGTTGATTTACAAGGTATCAGGCACTGAGTACTGTGAGCATGTCTCTCCCAGCAGTTTCCCTCCTACCTTCCCTTCCAAACATAGTTCACTCCTCCCTCAGGAAGGTTCGTACATCCCATTACATCTGACAGCATGCTTCATATCTCATAATCCTTTTGATAAATATGTCCTTCTTGCTTAGATATGGAGGTGAAGCAGCTGGACAAGAGGGCTTCTGGTCAGAGCTTTGAAGTGATTCTGAAGTCGCCTTCTGACATGTCTCCTGAGAGCCCAGTCCTTTCCTCTCCCCCCAAGAAGAGGGACCTGTCCCTGGAAGAGCTGCAGAAGAGGCTGGAGGCTGCAGAGGAGAGGAGGAAGGTAATGTGCTTGCCAAAGAGTTGCTCACTGGTCAGTTTGGACCTTTTCTTGAATTGAGCCCGGGTGGAACCCTTACAGGAATTTCCCAGCTGGGGTAAAATCATATGTGATGAGGGCGTGTGAAATTCTCGCAGCCTTGTGGTTCAGAGCTTTCTTAAACACTAGATATGTGCAGACAAGAAACAGAGAGTGGTCATGCCTTCTTGTCACACTGTAAGAGAACTATCAGTCAATGGCACGCATGGTTTGTTGTTGTCACCCTCAAGTCATCTCCAACCTATGGTGACTGTGAATGAGAACCCTCCCAAATGTCTTATCCATGATGGCTCCATTCAGTACTTCCAAATTCAAGGCTGGGGCTTCCTTGATGGAGTCAAGCCATCTCATATTTGGTCTTTCCTTCCTTCTTCTGCCTTAGACTTTCCCTAGCTTGAGTGCCTTCTCCAGGAAATGGTGCCTTCTGATGATGTAGTCATACATACTTTATCCTTAACTGTCCAAAATGATTAGAATCACACTAGACAATTGTATGGCCATTTGAAATGAGCAGGTAGCAAGTACTGTAGTACATTGGCAGAACAATTACTGGATATTCAAACACCAGTTCAGTTTTTAGATGTAAGGGGGGGGTGCTGTGTTTTAGATTGAAACATTAATAAAAATTATTTTTAAAAAAACCAGTTCAGCAAGCTGCCAGACTTTATTTTATTCCTAAGCTGATGCTAAAATTCCTGATCTAAAGGTGTAAGTTTGGCCAACGTTTCATTGTCAAAAGCGGTATTATAAGCATTTAAACATGCACTGTTTTACGTTTAAAGAACACTGCAGAAACAATATTAACACACAGAGTAGCCCCAACATATATGATCTGGAAAAAAGGCAGCAGCTCACATTGAGCAGAAAGCTGAGGGACAGATTGTTCCTGGGGCAAACTCACACACAGTTGGCTGTTCAAGAGCTCTCTAATGTGGTCTTGCTGCTTTCACTGTAGAGTCAGGAAGCCCAAGTCCTGAAGCAGCTGGCAGAGAAGCGAGAACACGAGAGGGAGGTGCTGCACAAGGCCTTGGAAGAGAATAACAACTTCAGCCGGCTGGCTGAGGAGAAGCTCAACTACAAGATGGAGCTGAGCAAGGAGATCCGTGAAGCTCATCTAGCTGCCTTGAGGGAGCGACTCCGCGAGAAGGCAAGTGCCAGAGGCTCCCAAGTAATGAATCCAGACAGAATACATTCCCAACATCATTTCTGCTATAAAGAACCCAGCTCAGTTCATACCACAAGTAATGCAGGGTATTCCAGGGTCCATGTGCCTCTCCCGTTATGCACTTTGTTCAGTTCACTGGCTCCAACAAACTCAGTTTTGACATAATGCCAGCAATTCTTGGGCAAATACAGCAATTGTGGGGATGAGCAGTGTGCAAGCCACACACACAGTATTTCTGCTTTTAAGTATGTTTGTTTCATGTCAGCCAAACCCACACACTCTGGATCATTTGTGAGTTAGGTAATCCCAAATTATTCCCACAACAAACCACTGTCAATTGTTGGTTAGCTCTAGGTTGTTTAACAAATAAATAACCCAAAGCTTCTGGGTTCGGAAGTCATGAATCAACCCAGGAACAGGAGCGTTTATTAAAAAAGGTAACAAGCATATTGAATGCATGCTCTACTTTTCCCTGCAATTCCTGGATTAAACAAGCCAGGAAATGCCAGTGTTATATCCAAACTGAGTCCCATACTTAATAGCATGAGCTCTATTTTTCTGCAGCTATTGCAAGCTTTTGAACAGTTTCAAATATTATATTGAGAGTGCAGCTACATGGGACAACAAAGGGGTCAACTTTTAAAGGGTAAATCCAACATGTTGTCTTTTTTCCATTCTTGGCCATTTTCTAAAATGAATCTATTGCCTTCTTGTCCCTTTTCAGTTGCCGTTTTGCCCATACAGGTAGCATGACAGAGCAAACAGAAGTTCTTGGAATGGGGGTGATTTGGGTTGGAAAAATGCACAGGTGGAAAGGTTAAACTCCTTTCCCCTTGCATTACAGATCTGCTCTCCTCTCCACAGCTCCATTTGCCCTTTTAAAAAAGAGTGCAGGATATCTAGTCACAGATCTTTCACTAGAAGATCTAGTTTGGCTCAAGTGTAAGTGTACAAGATGCTGCAAGATTGTTACTGCTGCAAGAGATTAACAATGTTCCCCAATAGAATTTGTCCAAAATTGGCAAGAAAGCATTTTTTGCAGCTGAGGTCTTGGGGAGCAGGTGTTCTGTGGTAAGCTGGAGCCTCTAAGTCACCATTCACCACTCCCTTCTATATGGGATGTTTACAGCCTGTATCATTTCCATATCTTACAGGAACTGCACGCAGCTGAGGTGCGCAGAAACAAGGAACAACGGGAAGAGATTTCTGGATAAAGGGCTTTTCTACACAACTAGCACCTGCTTCCTAATAACTAACAAACAAATCCCAACACTTTTTTTTTGTCTAGACGAGGCAACATCAGATTTCTCCATTTCCATTTCCCTCTCCCCTCCTCACCCCTCTGGTGTACCAAACTACATTATCTCTGTCCTCTACGTATCCTTAACTTGTGGAGGTTCATAGGGACCTCTCAGCAGAATAGCAACTAGTTCACACACATTAAATATAGAATCCATAAACCAGCTTCTCTTTGGGCTCTTCTTCAGAAAAAAAATCTTAAATAATGCACAGGAATCAAACGAAATGTTGAATGCATTTGGCAATGTTGCAAAGTTATGGGCTGTTCTCTATGAACCATTCACTGCTCTTGACGTTTGTCCTAAGGCAAGTGTCAACTCCTCAAGACAATGAGGAGTCTTTCCTTTGTCAAGAAGGGCAACAGGGCCAATTTCACACATAAGATCTTTTTTAGGCATCCATCTACGTTTAACGTGTACACGTAAAATGTAAAATGAGGACAACTGTATGTTTGCCAACAGGTGTATTCTACACATAAAGTCAAACCAGGAGTCACGGTGGCTCACTGCTGAATACCGCGTAATGTGTGAAAAGGCCCTAACAGACCCATTGCTTTCTTGATGGCTCGAGAAGGGACTGGATGGTTGCAAGCTTTGGTTAGAAAGAGTCTTTTACGGCTTAGTCCTTGCATTCTATTGACTGGTTTGCAGCTGATGGTGAATTTAGCTAGAGCCCAGAGCTTCAAGAATGAAAGAGCAGCACAGCAATGTGATGATTTGTTGCCTTTGGTAATGTTGGACATAATCATGCCTATAGTTATTTTAACATGAGGAGATCTCTCTTCAGGGCTGAAGAACACTGGCTAAGCAGAGTCACCGAATGATCAAAACCAGGTTCCATAGTAAACACAAGGCAGTGCACATTCTGGACACCCAGGCTTTCAGCAGTGGAAAAGGTGCGAGGTATAAATCAACCCGAAGGGCTTTAGTTAAACCTTGTCAGTGGGAATAGTAAGCCACGCCTCTATCAAAAGATGGAAGAATTTCATAAGAAGTTGGATCTGAGTGATGATTATTAGGATCTTGCTTTTTAGGTATTATGTTGTATCGTAAAGGACTAGAGAACCCTTTAACCGTACGTTGCAGCTTCAATTAGGAAAAGGGGAGACTGACTGTAAAAAGGAACTGAGCGGCAGAACAGAAGGTGTGCATCTTCGTTGATCGTGATGTTGCAGAGATAAAAAGCAAAAGCAATCGAATGTTTCGATTGCAGTAGTATGACGTGTGCTTTGTGAAATTGGTTGCACTGTCAGATATAATCCTGAATAGTTGAAAAGTCTGTGAGAGCTAGCTGACACCGTCATTTTTTCAAATTGGGTCAGAAGAGTACTGTGTTCTAATGACAAAATATATGCATGGCACTGTCACTTGATTTTTTAAAAAAATATTTGTGGCCTTTCAGTTTATAGTATAAAATTAAGGGAACATGTATACACCCCTATTCAAGACTAAGAAATGCTTTAAAAAACCAGCCACAGAAAAGACATACTACCCCAACCTTCCCCATTCCTTAGATGCATGATGGAAGAAAAGTATTTTTTCTTGCTTTTCAAAAGTTAAGCATTACACAAATTTACAACAAGTAGATGCATATTTAAGTTGCCAAGTTTGGCTCACACCCCCAGTATTCAGCTCCTTCTTCTGTATTTAGTTCAGGAGAACAGTCATTCACATCAGTGTCTGCTATTCCTCACTGATCTTTGTAGTGCATGCATTTTGACATTTAATCTTGGACATTTCTTACTGAGTCTAAAAAGTAAAGTGTGCATTAGCGGTTAGACTATGTGTTGGCTTGGATGTGAGAAATCTAATACCAACTTCCCACCTTGCCATGCAGCTTGTTCAGTGGTCTTTGCAAGTTGTTGTCTCAGCCCAAGTCGTATCACTGGGTTGCTGTGTGGGTAAAAAAAGAACTCGAAAGCACTTTGGACCCTAAGCAGTGCTGTAGAAATGGTAGCAGTGCAAGCTGCTTTGCATCACTGCACAGGATGGATAGCTGCTCATTCCAATGCGAGCTTAGGCATGGCAAGGGATTTATCACAGAAGCAGCTGGTTGGCTTTTGTGCAGCCCGACGCTTTGCAGGGTGACTTGGAAGTAACTCCTGTTGGGTTCAGTGTGGGTTACTTCCTAGTACGTGTGCACGGAATTGCAGCCTTAGTGCCTATGCTTGAAATGTGCATGCTTGTGTATGTGTGTGAGTTTTAAAACTTTTTTAGTAAGTCAGGTGCTCACATTATGTTGCTGCAAGTGTGCCCTTTCACAGAAGGGGGGAAGCTGAGACCAGAAGGTGAAGTTTTTGGAGTCAGACCCTTTGTTGCAGTGCCCTGTGGCACAGATATGGGAAGTCGCTGTGTGCTTCACTCTGCAGTAAGACCAAGGACGTGGATTGGAATGATTCTGGGGTGCATTTAGCAAATAAACATGACACATCCTCTGATTTTTTAATTTCTGATACAACCACCAATCCCCCCTCCCGCGCGCACACACTATTAGTGAGTATCTAAATCACACAGGGTTTTACCAGGAGTGCTGCATGAGGGTAAATCCATATTTTCAGCAACCGGAAAGGGATTTCTGGAGAGCTTGCCATGATGTATTTCCTCATGATTGCATGAAGGGAATGCAGTATACAGCCCTGACTGCCAACAGCATGAAGGATTCAGGATATACTAATTAGTGCAAGGAGGATTACAAATTGATAATTTGTCCACTGCTCAACTGACATGCTAGAAATAGTCTTAGGTACCTCCAGAGATATCTACCGTCAAAATACCAGGCTCACATTTTCCCCCTTTCTTATTACTCTTTCAAATCTATTAATGTTTCAGACCAAGTCTATTTGATGGCTTGGGAGCTTTTCATACATCCCATTATGATAATAACTAAGGAATCCTTGCCCCAGAGGAGGCTGCATTCTCTACTGAGACAGTCCCCAACAATGCACCAAAGACATGGAAAATGAGCTTTTACTCTCTCCTTGTAATACAGCCGAGCACAGAACGTATTCAAGGACCTCATACCTAAAGATTTGCATCCTGCCAGTTCATGTCGTTGTTGCAGTCTCATGGTACTCTTGGCAAATCATTCCTCTGCAGGCTAGGAAAGAACGAACCTACCTGCAGGCAAGGCTGTTGGCCAGGCTATTGTTGTTATTTATGCCCTGACATGTTTAACAAGCAGAACACTGCAGTGTAATGTTGTTTTCTCCCACAATTATCTAGTAATTATAACAATCTTGAGGAAACCCTTGACTGGCATTTCACTTAAACTGACATTTCAGAATATATTAAATGGAGTTCAATCTATATTGGCCAGAAATTCAGACTGACTCTGTTAGGTCCCCGTCAGCAGTAAAGCTGGTCTGGTATTTCTCCATTTTTCATTGCTATTCCTTTCTAACTTCTGCAACCACAATGATTTCAGTCTTTGTTTTTCTGATTAGGTCCCAGCTATGCCTCTTCAGACTTCAGAGACTAAGAGGTTTGATGAGCCACAGCAATTTTGTGAGCCTGCATGTTACCACTACTAACATGTTGTGGATGCTTTCCCCCTAGCGTTGTTGCTTTTCTTTGGGCTTGTGGCCATTGATCCTTTAATGGCAAGAGTTCTTAGGTGAACCACTTCTCCTTGGAGTTCAGAATGGGACAGGCAAGGTTGCTCCACCAAAATAATTTCCATTGGGTGTTTGCGTAACATAGAGAGAGCGCTTACAACCATTTGGGAGTAGTGGTTCTGAAAACAGTACTGTGAATCTTCTTGATTTATTTGGAGAAAAAAAAAAAAAACAAGTTCCAGAAACTGAAATTGTCTGGGGCCACTGGGGAAGAATCACAGAATAATAGAGTTGGAAGGGGTCATGAAGGCCATCGGGTCCAACCCCCGGCTGTTGCAGGACACCATCCCACTCAGATGGCTGTCCAGTTTCTTCTTGAATGTCTCTAGTATGGGAGAGCCCATCACCTCTCTAGGCAGCTGGTTCCACTGTTGCATTGCTCCGACAGTAAGGAAACTTTTCATGATGTCCTGCCTGAATCTGGTTGTCACAGCTTGAATGGATTATTCTGTGCCCTGCACTTGAGTATCAGCAAGAAGAGATCTTGACCTTCCTCTCTGTGACAGCCTTTGAGGTACTTATAGAGTGATACCATGTCTCCCCCCGTCTTCTCTTCTCAAGGCTGAACATGCCCAGTTCTCCCAGTCTCTCTTCACAGGGCAGTGTTTCCAAACCCTGGATCATTTTTGTTGCCCTCCTCTAGTCTCTTTCTAATTCTTCTGCATCCTCCTTAAATCTTGGTGCCCAGAACTGGACACAGTATTCTAGATGAGGTCTGACTAGTGAAGACGAACTACTACTTCTCATGATTTGGAAGTAATACTTCTTTGTGTCCGATTTGGCAGCCCATTTTGGATCCACATAATAGTGTTTCCATTGAGTCCAAATTCGCTAATTTGCTTATTAGAATGTCATGTGGCACTATGTCGAAAGCTATGTCTAGGTAGATTATGTCTACAGTGTTCCCTTTGTCCATTTGGGAGGTTACATGGTCAAAAAATGAGATTAGTCTGACAGGATTTATTTTTGATAAATCTGTGTTGGCTTCTGTTAATCACTGCATTTTCTTCAATATGCTTGCAGATGGCTTTTTCAATAATTTACTCCAGAATTTTTCCAGGGATTGATATCAAGACTACCTGGTCTATAGTTCCCAGGTTCATTTTTCCCCCTTTTTGAAGAAAGGGATGTTAGCCCTTCTCCAGATGTCTGGCGCTTCACCTGTTTCCAAGATTTATCGAAGATAATAGCCAGTGGGTCTGAGAGTTCCTCCACTAGCTCGTTTATGACTCTCATTCTTTGTTCTGGGCATATCTGAAGAAGGCTTTCTTGTTCCTAGCATCCCATGCTATTCTCAGTTCATTTCCTGCTTTATCCTTCCTGATGTTATCCCTGCATCTCCTTGCTATTTGTTTATATTCTTCTCTTCAAGAAGAAGAGAAATGCTACGCTGAAGAAGCAAACTCAGTGGATCCTTAAAGTAAAGCCGGTGGACTCCAAGATCCACTCCACCATTAGGCATGGCAACAATGGAGTGGTGGGTGGGATACAGCTATCCAGCACGGCAGGGGCACGTGGA